GTCTGTTTGTCTATGTTTATTTATCTGTTTCTGTCCCTCTTCGTTTATCTCTCCTTCTGTGTGTATCTGTCTGTCTGTCTGTCTGTCTGTCTGTCTGTCTGTCTGTCTGTCTCCCTGTCTCTCTTATCATGTGATTTTCTCATCTATTTATTTTGTATTCTCAACTTCATGAATCCTCAGCATATAAATAATACTACTAATAATAATAACAATATACAGTACAAAAGTATAATGATATTTCAAGGTCAAAATACAAAGCTCATTCCTTTAAGATAATATAATGATAGAGTCTTGAAGGTTAAAAGTTCAAAGGTCATTTAGTTTGGTTAGGTTAGGTTACCGCTGTTTGACCTCGCTTAAAAGTTATTAATGTTGCGTGTTGTCCTTTGTCTTATCAGTGGTTTGATCTGTGAGGACGACGTCTGGTATTATAGCTCTCTCTCTCTCTCTCTCTCTCTCTCTCTCTCTCTCTCTCTCTCTCTCTCTCTCTCTCTCTCTCTCTCTCTCTCTCTCTCTCTCATTAATTTACTCTTAGATGTGATAACAAGAATTTAACTTTTATTCACAGATAAGTTTCAATGTATACATGTACACACAGGAAAGGTTCAATGTACGCACACACACACACACACACACACATACACACGCACACGCACACACACACACTGGATCCACCGCCAGCAGGTGTAGCACTTAGTAATTACACATTCTCCTTGAGAACAGTTTCATCGAACGCCCCCGACACGTTCCCATATCCCCAGGGCACAACTAGCATGGTGGCCGTGCCTAGTGCCGTAGTCTCTCTCTCTCTCTCTCTCTCGTGCTGTACTGGTGTAGTGTCCCTCTACCTATAAACTAGGTTACGCATAGTTAGGTTTGGTTTGATTAGGTTAGGTTAGGTTAGGTTAGGTTTAAGTTAGGTAAGATTAGGTTAGTTTTGGTTACCTTGAATTAAGTTAGGGAAGGTTAAGTTAGATTAAATTAAGTTATATTAGGTTTGGTTGGGTTTAAGTGAGATATGTTAAGCAAGTTCGGTTATGTTAAGTTAGGTTCGATTAAATTAAGTTAGTTGGGATTACGGTGTCGTACCTGGGGATTAGTGGGCCAAAGTTACCTGGAGTAATTAGATAAGGGAGCCACAGTGTAGATAACATTGAAGACCTTACGATTTTTTATTTTTTTTATTTTAGGAACTGTGAGGAAGAAAGTGAGAGAAAGTTAAAGCAATTGAGAGAAAGAGAAAGAAACGATTTAGAGACAGACAGACAGACAGACAGACAGAGAGACAGACAGACCCACAAACAGAAAAACTAAGCCTCAGGCCATTACTAACTCCCTACCATTAAAAGTGTGAATATACAAAGCTATTTATTGACTGAGTTACACAAAAGCTATCACAGCTAAAATTTACGCTAGTCTACCATGATCCCACCTTTCAATTCAGCCAATAACAGTATCGTAGTCAATTATAAAGTCCATCCCAATCACCTGTTTTTTTTTCTAATTGGCCAGTCGTGAATTTTATCAACATTTTGTTTTGTTTTCTTATTTGGAGATTTTGTTTTTTGTTTGTTTGTTTGTTATGTTAAATTCTCTCTTTTTTCTTTGTTGGTGATTATTTAATATTGAAAGTGTGTGTCATAGTGGATATATGATACTATATACATTAGGCTATATATATCACACTATATAATTATAATTTCATTCCAATTTGATTCATTATAATAATTCTCCTTTTTCATTTAATTAAACTCAAAATTATATTCACATTTGGATCTACAATAAAAAATTTCCTCCATACAATCATAAAAACATTAAATAATCACAACTAAAAAAATAAAATAAAAAATAAAATCCTTAAAAAAAATCCCAAGTCCCAAGCACAAACTCCTACAGGATATAAGTAGGAGACACTGAATCACCCCGCCGCGTCAGGAACTGCAGAAGGAGTCCTCACACGGGGAATTTTATGGCGCTATTACTGTCTCTCTTAGTAATATTATGAACGAGACACAGATGGTTACGTTCCTTCGTGTGAAATTCAGTTTTGATATAAGATGAACTTGGAATAAAGAGAAATACTGGTTTGTGTGTGTTGGTGTGTGATGATGTGGTGGTTGTTGGAGAGTGGTGGTGGTGGTGGTGGTGATGGTGGTAGTGGTGTTAGTGATGGTGGTGGTGTTAGAGGTGTCTGTTGTGGTAGTAGTCGTGTTAGTGGTGGTGGTGTTGGAGGTGTATGTTGTGGTGGTAATGGTGGTGGTGATGGTGGTAGTGGTGTTAGTGATGGTGGTGGTGTTAGAGGTGTCTGTTGTGGTGGTATGTGGTGGCGGTGGTGATGGTGGTAGTGGTGTGCAAGTGATGTGGTGGTGGTGTTGGAGGTGTATGTTGTGGTGGTAATGGTGGTGTTAGAGGTGTCTGTTGTGGTGGTAATGATGGTGGTGATGGTGGTAGTAGTGTTAGTGATGGTGGTGGTGTTAGAGGTGTCTGTTGTGGTAGTAGTCGTGTTAGTGGTGGTGGTGTTGGAGGTGTATGTTGTGGTGGTAATGGCGGTGTTGGAGGTGTCTGTTGTGGTGGTAATGGTGATGGTGGTGAGTCGGGAGGTCGGGGGAAGGAAGGGACATGCATTATGTATACTGCAGATCTTGCCTCACTCAGCTAAACCTCCTCCCAGCTAAACCTCCTCCCAGCTAAACCTTTTCCCAGCTTAACCTCCTCCCATCTTAACCTCCTCCTAGCTAAACCCTCTTCTCGCCAGATCTCCTCCCAGCTAAATCTCCTCACAGCTAAACCTCTCCTTCCAGCTAAACCTCTCCTCACAGCTAAACCTCTCCTCACAGCTAAACCTCTTCCCAGCCATCCCCTGAGGTCAAATCTTCTTTTCCGGGGTCATAGACTTCCCACCATCTTCACTGGGCCATAACGGGTCATGACTCCCTGGGGTAATCTTAGAGCCCCAGACACTATCTTTACCTGAGGGGCAGAATCTCACCTGGGGGAATCATGGTGTCTCATCTTAGTCCCGCAGGTGAGAGAGAGAAATAATCTTAAATGTAAAAAAATAATCTTATTAGTTTATATAATCATGGGGAGACTTTTATTGAACCATTGTCCTCTTATGCCAGATGTGAGTGTAGATAACGTCGAAGCCAGTAAGGTCGTTTGTGTTAGTATAAACGATGCCGTGTTAGATGTCTTCGGGCCATTAGATAGTTTCATAAGTGGCTTAATGGTGTAGCTATTGTGGTGCATCTTGTTTTAGCGTGAATCTTTGTCCCGTAAGATTCGAACCCACAGCCTTTAGACATTCGAACCCAGAGTTTTCGAGATCAGAAAATAATAATAATAATAATAATAATAATAATAATAATAATAATAATAATAATAATAATAATAATAATAATAATAATATATCCCCCCCCATTAGTGATGACCTTTGACCTGAGAAAAAACCATAATTAATCTGTGTCAGCGGCTGTCAGTGGATCAAACTCCCCATAAATATATTCATCCTGGGTTTAAAATCAATATTGTTTGAAATAATAAGGAATGACAGGAGATAAATAACAAATTTGGGTCATAATGTTTGACCTTTTGACCTTTGTCCAGTGTGTGGGTGTGTGTGTGTGTGTGTGTGTGTGTGTGTGTGTGTGTGTGTGTGTGTGTGTGTGTGTGTGTTTTTCCTTAATATTTCATATAGCATTACGTCATTTGAATATTGTTTGCTTTATACACATACACATGACTCTCTCTCTCTCTCTCTCTCTCTCTCTCTCTCCTACAGCCAGGACTAAGCCTGCTCTAGGTACAGTATCGACAACACTCAGTACATAATGCATTTACCCGATAGTATCTATATCTCACTATCGACCTCCCTCACACCTTCCCCCTTCTCCTCCCTCACCCCTTCCCCTCCTTCACCCCTTACCTTCCCTCACCCCTTACCCCAACCTCCCTTCCTCCCTTCTTCTCTTCTAGAGAATCCCTTCCTTCCTCCTTCCCTTCCTATGTTAAACCTTCTTCATTCCCTTCCTCCTTCTTCTCCTCCTCTTCAGCCTTCCCCTACTTACACTGAATCTCTCTACTCCTTCCTTCCTTCCTTCCTTCCTTCCTTCCTTCCTTCCCTCGTTCCTTCCCTTCTTCTCCCTCTTACCTTATTTTATACATCGTATAGACAATATTTACGACCACCTTTCACCAGCTAACAAAACTTTAACCAGCTATACCTATAATCCCAACTTTCACCAACTATTATCCAAACTTTCACCAGCTATACCTAAAATCCCAGCTTTCACCAACTATTGTCCAAACTTTCACCAGCTATAACTATAATCACAGCTTTCACCAGCTATAACCCAACTTTCGCCAACTATACAAAGCCTTGACACGTATCCACTTCGTAAGATGTAATCCCCTACAAAAAAAAATAAATTAAACTTTTACAAAATTACTTGACACATTTTGGCATTTATCACTCACAATTTCTCGCCAGGAAGTGATAAAAAAAATACCCAGCTGCTTAAACGACATTATAAATTCCTCAGGTTTCAGAATTTCTTATTGAACGACATTTGGCATTTATAAAGAGGCGTAAACTCAAATGGGAGGTTGAAATATTTATGTCGTTACTCATGTTTATTTCTTATAGCTGTCGTTCGTGTTTATAATCCGGATTTATTGATGAAGTGGACAGCTAATATTTTTTTTACTTATTCGCGTATTCGTATTGTTGTTATTGTTGTTGTTATTGTCGTTGTTGTTGTTATTTTTTTCTCATCCTAGTTAGCGTATTAATATTGTAGTTGATGATGTTGTTGTTATATTATTATTATTATTATTATTATTATTATTATTATTATTATTATTATTATTATTATTATTATTATTATTATTATTATTATTATTATTATTATTATTTTTTTCTCATCCCAGTTTTCATGAGCCCCCAAAATATATTCCTCTGAAGGGGTGAATCAGACCGTAACGTGAACCAAATTTATTTCAGCTTGGATATCCTCACTACCACCCCTGAGCCCGATTTCTGGAGAGTCGGTGGCATGAGGGAGGAAGCTGTCAGGCAATATACTCGTTATGTGAGTATTGGCAGTGTGTTGTTGTACCCTGAGGTAGAGAGGGGTAAGGGGGGTAAGAGAAGAGGGGGGGGCAAGAGAAGAGAGAAGAGGGAATTGAAGGAGGGGCAGGGGAGGGGAGGGGTGAGAGAGGAGGGGATAGGGGTGAGAGGGAGGGGACGAGAGAGGAGAGAGAAGGGTGAAAGAGAGGGGACAAGAGGGTGGGGGTGAGAGAAGATGAAGAGGGTGGATAAAGTTGAGAGAGAAAATGGGAGGGATAAAGGAGAAGGATGGAAGAAGATGAGAGAGAGAGAGAGAGAGAGAGGAAGGGGGGAGGAGGAAGGATAGATAAGGCAGTTTCATAAGTCATATACAGGGTGTGTTAAAAGTATATATACAGTGTCTTACAGATTTACAGGGAGATGGCTTTTAAATTTTTGTCCTTACTTGTTGATTGAACTCTGAGGTCTCCCACACGTGAGGACAATGTTCAAATGATCACCACGTAAATTTATCAAGCATTTTGCATACATTTTTTTTTTCCTGACATACCTTGTATATATATATTTTAGACATACCCTTTACCTAGGATTGCTTATACGTGTTGATGTGTATACTAAAACAGGTATGTATATAGTGCATATTTTTGTATTTGTGTATATTATGTTCTTATACTTTTTTTATGCTGTATGATTTTTTATGTATAAGCATGTAGGGTCGGTGTATATTACGTGTATGTATTGTATTATGTATGATTTATATGTGGTATAATACAGTAAGTACCGATAAGTGTATTTTTGTTTTGTATGTTTTTTTTTTCAAGTTTATTGTGTTTAATTTTATTTAATTTACAAAAATATGTATATATCCACAACAGTAGAAAATTACTCTTACGATATTCAAAGACTGATGTGTCCTAATCTGACCTTAACCATACAACTGTGTCCTAATCTGACCTTAACCATACAACTGTGTCCTAATCTGACCTTAAACATACAACTGTGTCCTAATCTGAACTAAAACATCCCATCCGTCTCACAGATTAATCTCGATTAGTCATCTCGTATCCATTAGTATTTCGTCCGTCTGAGCTCCGGCAAGATAATGTGTTGTTGTTTAATGGACCGGTGAGGTTGTCTCGGTCACTTTGTCTGTCTAAAATCCGTCCAAATCTATTATTTGTTCTGTCGAAATCCGCCGCCTCTCTCTCTCTCTCTCTCTCTCTCTCTCTCTCTCTCTCTCTCTCTCTCTCTCTCTCCCTCTCTCTCTCTCTCTCTCTCTCTCTCTCTCTCTCTCTCTCTCTCTCTCTCTCTCTCATATCCTCCCAGAACAATTAGACAGTTTGAGCTTCCTATCTTTAATAGTTCAGGCGGCTGGCGAGAGGTAATTGGTCTATTCCACTATCCAGCCTCTGTTTGGCTGAAAGATAGCGTGAGGGGACACTAACATATTGACCCCTCCACCTACCACACACACACACACACACACACACACACACATACAGACACACACACACCGACACAGACACACACACAAACCGACACAGACATACACCGACACACACACACAACCGACACACACACACACACACACACACACACCGACACACACGCACACACACACACACACATTAGGGCCAGATGTGTGTGTGTGTGTGTGGCCCATTAGATTAGAATCCATTAGGACTGGGATCCGTCCGTCCGTCCGTCCGTCCGTCCGTCTGTCCTTCCGTCGCCTTAACTGATATAAAACACACAAACAACCACCATTACTCTCCAATATATTTGACAGATCTTAAAACTGTCATTATGATTGGCCAGTTGAGGTGACCAATTACACCTAAGTCACTCTGTACCAATACATTCCAATGAAGGTTCTAAGTTATGCTAAGTGGGTGGATATTGGTGTGGGGGAAGGGAGGGGGAAGGTAGGGGGAAAGGAGGGAAGGTAGGGAAGGGAGGGAAGGAGGGAAGGAGGAGGGAAGGAGGGAAGGGAGGGAAGGTAGGGAGGAGGAAGGGAGGGGGAAGGGAGGGGGAAGGGAGGGGGAAGGGAGGGGGAAGGGAGAGGGAAGGGTGCTTTGATGTGTGTGGGTATGTCTGTATGTCTGTGATTGAAGTGAGGGGGTGTGTGTATCAGTATGTTCTTTCTTTCATTCGTTCCTTCTTCCTGCATTCAATCCTTCTTTAATTCGTTCCTCCTCCCCTCATTCATTACTTCTCCCTGCATTTATTTCTTCTTCCTGCATTCGTTCCTTCTTTAATTCGTTCCTCCTCCCTTCATTCGTTCCTTCTCCCTTCATTTATTCCTTCTCTCTTCACTCGTCCGTTCACCCGCCTGGCCGTTCATTCATTATTCAATACGTTCATCACTCTCACTTGTCAGTATCGTAAAGTCATCAACCTCTCATAAGGAATTGATAAAACTTTGGAACGTACAAAGAATGTCAATGGACGTATACGTGTATCATGCAAATGGCAGATCACGTACGTCGCAGGTCAAGGTCATGGAACAGAGGTCAAGTCACGAACAGAGGTCAAAGGTCCGATTGTTTTTTGGTATCTCTGTCATTTTGTTATTCCTTATTGTCTGTGTTTGGCTGTGTTATCTCTCTCTCTCTCTCTCTCTCTCTCTCTCTCTCTCTCTCTCTCTCTGACATGTCTACATATGGCTGTGTTATCTTTCTCTGACATGTCTGTGGAACATCATTGTTTGACATAACTCTGGGTAGTATGTCAGTAAATCTTATGAATATGTCAGGACCCGGGATAGTTGTCATACCAACTGTCATGTGATGTAACTGTCATGTCCTGTGTCACGTCAATACCCGTGTTAGTATATATGTTTGTTTGTCATTGTATCGTTCACGTCTGTTACTGTCTCTTGTATAGTTATCCTTCTGTCATGAGTGTCATAACTGTCATAATTCTCATTGTATCGTAACTGTCATTCTGTCATAACTATCACTCTCTCTCTCTCTCTCTCTCTTTCTCTCTCCCACAACAGTGATATATAAACAAGACGCAAAGTAACAGGTGTTGGTCAATAAAGTAATCAGCCCCCCCCCCTAGCACCTCCTCATTACCCCACGGTGCTCCAATGGTGTCCGAGGTCGGTCAAAACTCTGGACAATTCCGAAGTAGTGGATTGATTGTCGACTTTGCCTCAGGTGATTTCAGTGAGAGAGAGTTTATATTTCAAGTGTTGTCGTATTTTGTATCACACGAAATCATAAGCACTTACATACCCTCACACGCACCAAAAATCACTCTAATGCACTCACACGCACTCACACGTACTCACACGCAATCACACGCACTCACAATCAAGCACACGCACCCACACTCGCTCCTAAGCACTCACGCGTACTCACACATACTCACACTTGCGCTCATAATCACTCGCACGGGCTCACACTCACTTATCACATGTACTAACACACACACACACACACACACACACACACACACACACACACACACACAGTGATAAATAACGCAATAAATAAAGAGAAAATGAGAGAAAATAACTGATAAATAACGCGCGTAACAAATACAAATGAATCACCGCCATAAAGGAATATTTGATAAAGAGGAGACGATATAAAAATAAAAATCGAAACAGAGGAAGAATGAATCACGTGACAGGACAATCGGCTTTATCAACAACACGAAAACACGTAAAGGACGTGTTTTCGTGTTGATAAAAGGGGGGAATGACGACATGAAGATAGCGTGACCATATGATGATAGAAGGTGTGAGAGTGGGATTTTAGTGTTTGTGGTGTGTGGAGTGGGTGTTTGTGAATATAAATGAGTATAATTGGGTGTAGGTAGATGTTAATATGTGGTAAATGGCTTGTGTGTGTGTGTGTGTGTGTGTGTGTTATATAAACAAATCACACAGGTAAATAAAGTTCTCGTCACCAGCTGTTGTGGTCAGTGTAAACAAACCAATGACTCGTAGTAGGAACCCACGAATTACCTACAGCTGATGTGTGTCAGGGTCGCGTCTCAGCTGATTGGAGGAGGGAGGGGGAGTGGAAAGGGAACTGGCGGAAGGAAGGGAGATGGAAAGGAAGGAGGGCAGTATGGAGGGAGGGAAGGAGGTCAGGAGGGAGGAAAGGAAATGTGAATGGAAAAGGGAGTAAAGAGATGGAATAAATGGGATTATGTTTATTGTTTATTTATCTCTCTCTCTCTCTCTCTCTCTCTCTCTCTCTCTCTCTCTCTCTCTCTCTCTCGTTTACCAAGGTCTCATTCCGGCACTATTCAGAGGAGAGCGCATGTGGTCCGCCCCCTTTCATTATTCTAAATGCTTTTTTTTTTTTGGGTTAGGTTTTACCACAACTGATTGTTAGTTAAGTAAGTAATAAAGTTTTGTAAGTGCTAATGAAGCTGATTGTTGCATAAATAAGTAATAAAAGGTCTTTATTCCTCCTCACCCCCCTCACCTCTCCCCCCTCCTCTCCCCTTCACCACCTCCTCACTCCCCATCACCACCTCCCCTCACACTCTCCCTCACCACCTCCCTCCTTTATTCCCCCCCTCACCACCTCCCCTCCCCACACTCTCCCATCACCACCTCCCTCCACCTCTCCCCCCCTCCCACACTGCCCTCCTTCTCACCACCTCCCATCAAATTATACTCCCCTTCCCCCACACTACTTTCCTCTCCCCTCAGATTTCTGTCTCCTCCCCTCATAATGTATCCCCTCACCCTTCCCTCATACGGTTCCCTTCACCCCTCATACTGTTCCCCTCACCCCTCTCCTCACACTTCTTGTCCCCTCGCCCCTTCCCTCATACTGTTCCCGTCACTCTGTTCCCCCTTCATCTCTTCCTTCACACTCCCCCCTTCCACTATTTCCCCTCCTTTCACACATCTCCCCTCCCATCCCACTTCACCCTCCTTGAGTAGCTAGGTATACGTTCTCAGATGGGCGGACTCAGAGTAGCTCGGCCGACATCCACCTACTCTAACTACAGTACTAATGCATAATTAATTCCATGTCGATATACCACTGT